TAAAGAGAAAAACACACCAGTTACTCAAGGGTAGCCAAATATTTCATGACTCGTGGCTCAGGGAGAAAATTCTCTTGTGTTCTTATGAGGAACACAGAGTGATATCACACACAACAACTTGTAAGCTATGCCTTCTAGAATCTCTCAGTGTAAGGGAAAGCGTACATAGTACGAAGCCTGGCGGTTAAAAGCATGGATTTGAATCCTTGCTTTATCACTTATTAATTGTACCTTGAGTAATTACTTAACCTATCTATACCTTAGCTTCCTGTTTTATAAAAAACTGTGAACAATATCACCTACTTCAAAGGGCAGTTATGAGGCTTAAATGAACTAATGCCTACAAAACACTTAAACAGAGGTAAATAGGTACAGGTACTATGTACCTGGCACAATGTAAACATCCTTATTATTAAAGCAAATGCTAAAATGAATGTGTGCATATGTTAACAGTACAGACAGAGGGCACTTAAACCAACTAAGGGCCAGTTTCCTGGAAAGAGGATGCTTGTGCTGGCTCTAAATCTTGGTCTACTCTGACCTCGGCCAAATTATTTAAACTTTGTACCCCATCTGCTAAAACAGAGATTTTGTCAGTGGGCTATACAATAAGCTAATGTTTACAAAATTAAGTGAGAGAACATATGAAGATTAGATAAGCAAATGTATTAAACCATGGCATTAGTGACAATGTTTCCTCTTGGATCTACTGAGAAAATATAAATTATTCTTGCATTTAACTCTTCTGTTCATTTTAACAATTAAACAATTTTAGTTTAGAAACAGTTGTATGTAAATATTCATTTAAATCACAACAAAACTACCTAGAAGGAATGTTAGGTGACATCACTGGTTTAGCACAATTCTCCTGGTCTTTTTTTCTCTCCATGGAAATGCCTTAATGTATTAGTGTCCATTTTTGAGGCATACTGTTCCTATCTGACAGTGTAGGTAAGTACAATATCCTTGACTTCCATTACATAGAACTGATTGCTCCCTTACCTGTATCACTTTATATAGCCCTCATTTTACTTCATACAGATTCTATTATAGTATATTGTATTATAATTACAATATTTACATCTAACTTTTAAACTTACTTTATTGTTTAAGACAGGGTCTTGCTCTGTTGCCCAGGCTGAAGTGCACTGGCAAAGTCATAGCTCACTGTAACCTCAAACTCCTGGGCTCACACAATCCTCCTGCCCCAGCCTCCCAAGCAGTTAGGACTGCAGGTGCCTGCCACGACACCTGCTAATTTTTAGAACATTTTTGTAGAGATGGGTTTCTGGCTACATTGCCCAGGCTGGTCTCAAACTCTGGGCCTCAGGTGATCTTTCCATTTTGGCCTTCCAAAGTGCTGGGATTACAAGCATGAGCCACCACAACCAGGTCTATCTTATACTTTATTTATATTTATTTATTTTTTTGAGACAGAGTTTAACCCTTGTGCCCAGGCTGGAGTGCAATAGCGCGATCTTGGCTCACTGCAACCTCTGCCTCCTGGGTTCAAGCGATTCCTCCGAGTAGCTGGGATTACAGGCACATGCCACCATGCCTGGATAATTTTTGTATTTTTAGTAGAGATGGGGTTTCATCATATTCGTCAGGCTGGTCTCCAACTCCTGACAAGTGATCTGCCCACCCTGGCCTCCCAAAGTGCTGGGACTACAGATATGAGCCACTGCGCCCGGCTTTTATACACACACACATACACACACACACACATATTTTTTTTTCTTAAAAAGAACTACAACAACTAGTTATATACTTGGTATTTTTTTCTCTCTCTCTCCAAATTGTGAGTTCCTTGAAAACTGTGTCATAGCCATAGTATCTAGGACAGAAGCTGGCATGTAATACTGGTTCTCACTGGTTGGTAAAATGATCTGAGAAGGATTTGAAGTGTGCTGTTATAAGCAAGTGAGTCTGATATAAAATTGCGGGGATTATCTAGGAATCAATGTGAAAATTATAGACTCAGCTTGATCCTATCCTTTGCCAGATGAGAAAACCAAAGCCTGGAATAGTTGAGGGATTTGTTCAGTTACCTAGCTAATCAATGGCCAGAATCAAGACTAGAATCACAAAACTGCAATCAACTCAGTCCAGAGGCCAATCTACTATTTTGGTCTGCCTTTCAGACCTCAGTGATTTGGAATCTATCTCTACTATCCCACTGAAGTTTGCTATTGTTGGTTACCAATCACTTTTCTGTTGCTAAATCCAGTGAATGGTTTCCAGTTCTTGATATACTTGATCTATTTGTGGTCTCTGACTCTGTTGACCCCTCTCCACCTTGCTTGAAGGGCTTCAGAGGCATTAGGCTCACCTATTCTCCTTTTCTCTCTCTGGCCATTCCTCCTCAGACTTCTTTTTGGGTTTCTGATCATCTGTACCTCCTTCTAAAGTTAGTGCTCCCCAGGGGCCCTATCCTTGGTTCTCCTTATTATTTCTTCTGTATTTTCTCATATATTCATCTCATCCATCCCTTGGGCTTAAATTACCAATTATAAATTTATTTCTTCCAAACCTATTTTAACTCAACCTCTTTCCTCATTCATAGAACTGTATAGTTTGACTGTTTACTGGACATTTTTCTCTAGATTTGGAGGTTCCCTCCATTAGGGCACAGTCTCTGAGGGGACCTACTGAATTGTACCCTTCTTTTCCAGATAAAGGAGAAAGCTGCAGGAAACCAACTATTGTCTTTATTACTGACTGTATTAGTTTCCTATTGCTGTTGTGACAAGTTACCACAAACTTGGTAGCTTAAAACATACAAGTTTATTATCTTACAGTTCAAGAAGTCAGAAGTCCTAAAATCAAGATGTTGGCAGGGCTGTATTCCCAGGGTGCTAGAGAAGAATCCATTTCCTTGCCTTCTCCAGCTTCTACAATTTGCTTGCATTCCTTGGGTCCATCTTCAAAGCCAACAGTACAGCATCTTCAAATCTCTCTGTCTGACCCCTGCTTCCATCATCACATCTCCTTCTCTGACTCTAACCCTCCTGCCTCCAGCCAAGTCAGACAATCCAGGATAATCTCCCTAGAGGCATCATTTAATCATATCTGCAAAGTCCCCTTTACCATATAATATATTCACAGGTTCTGGGTATTAGGATGTGGTCATGTTTTTTTTGGGGGGGGATCATTATTAGTGTATTAAATATTACCTGTGGACAGACAGCTTCCTAATGCCAAACTCTGGAATTAAATAACATTTACTCTCTTTGTAGACCCTTGTCCCCACCCATAGGCTCCAGGAGAAATGGAAGAGAATACCAGGACAGTTCCCTGAAGATAGCTCTCTTTTACGAGAAAAAGAATGGGATAGATATCACATGCCCAGTTTATTCACCAATCAGGAAGTCACTCCTCTAGGGAAGAGGGAGTTGGGGACAGGTGCAGTGAGAAGCCAGGAGACTATTACACTAATGGATGTCATTCCATACAGGAGACATTGTGAGTGGAGAGGAAATGTTTCCCCAACATACATATCCATATTTGAAATCATCATCATACTCCACATATCCCACCATCCTCCTAAGGAATGTCACCATCACTATCTGTAATAGTAACGTAGACACCTGTAAATAATCAACCCTCATGTAGCTTGCCGTCTTGCTAAATGTTACCACTATCTCCCTTAGGACTTACACTGGAAACCTGGCCTACTCAAACCTGGCTGTGAATTCTACCACCTTAACGGCGCCAACATCTATCCACTCTTCTCTTCCCACTGCCAATGCTTTGTTCAATGTTCTTATCGCTTGTCTGGAGTACTGCAATATGACCTAAAAATGGGTCTCCCTACCCCAAGCCTTGCTTTTCCTGACCATTTTTACTTCCTACTTTACTCGTAGAGTTTCCTTTGCCTGGAATTAAGTCCTTGCCAATTTGTCTCCTCCAGCACGTGGTGGGTGGGGGGTCCCCTAGCTTACCCCAGCGCCGAGGGTAATTGACTCTCCCACATCAGCTAGTCAGAACTGCACCGGATTTCTAGGACTCTTATCTATCTGAATAGATACTATTTTTTTTGACACGGAGTCTTGCTCTATCGCCAAGCTGGACGGCAGTGGCACGATCTCGGCTCACAGCAACCTCCATCTCCCGGGTTCAAGCGATTCCCCTGCCTCAGAGATACATTGTTTTTTTGAGGCAGTGTCTTGCTCTCATCGCATAGGCTGGAGTGCAGCGGCACGATCACGGTTCACTGCAATCTCGAACTTCCAGGTCCGAGCGATCATCCCACTTCAGCCTCCAGAGTATCTGTGACTACAGGTGCGCTCGCGCCACCATACCCGTCTAGTTTTTGTCTTTTTTGTAGAGACGGGGCTTCACTATGTTGCCCAGGCTGGTCTCGAACTCCTGAGCTCAAGCGATCCACCCACCTTTGCCTCCCAAAAGTGCTGGGATTACAGGCGTGAGCCACCAAGTCGAATAGGCTTTATACTTACAAAGTACCTTTGCAGACTTATTTCATTTTCACCTCACAACTCTCCAGCTTAGGCTGGACCAGTATTATTATGCCCTTTTACTGAAAGAGGAAACTGAGAGTCAAAGTTGGGGCAGTTAACGAGCGTCACTTAGCAGCCTCGACATTAACCACGCTCTCAGCCCTTTCTGGTCCTACTCCTAGGAGAACCTTCCTGCACCTCCAATAACTTGCCGATCGGGTCTGCGGCGGTCTTGACGAGGTCACTCCACAGGCGCCCAGGACCTTCCCATCCGTAGTGACGCGCGCCGGTTACGTCATACAGTGACGTATGGTGACGCGACTTACCGGGAGCCAGGTGCCGGCAGGGCAGCCACACCCTGGGGTCCCCTGCTCTCGAAGCGCAGAAGGTCGGGCCGGTGCGGAAAAGCCGCAGAAGCCGCTTCTGGCGACCTTCCGGGCCTGCACCCCCGGACCCAGCAGCCGGCGGTCAATCGGTTGCTAAGTGACGCCAGCGCGCAGTGACGCGTGCGCGGCCACGGCGGAGTGCGTGAGGGTGGACGCGCGCCGCGACGGCGGCGGGGGCGAGGACGGCGGCCAAGGCAGCGACCAAGGGGGCGGTGGCAAAGAGGGGGGTGCGGAGCGGGCGGAAGAGGCGTCTGTGCCGGCGGCTAGGTCGCAGAGGAACATCGTTGGGGTGAGTAGCCGGCGCCTCGCAGGGGAGGTGGGGCCTGGCCGCACCTGCTGCGCGGGCCCGGGGCGCGGGGAGGCGCGCCCCCGCCGTATCTGCGCGCGCCGCTCTCCGCCCCTCCGCCGCTTTTTCCGGGGGCGGGGAAGGAGCGCAGACGGGGACTGACGAGAGTCAGTCTCTGGGCCCGGTGCTCTGGGAAGCGGTAGCCGGGGTCTGGGAAAGGCTCGCAGTCCACGAAGGTGTAGTGGGAAGTAGATGTCTCGGGGGTTCGGGGCGACTCTCCCAGCCTCCCAAAGAAAGGAGTTCGAATCAGGAGCAGCCCAGATTCCCTAGTAGCCTCGCATCCTGTCTGAGACGACGGTGCCCGGGACCAAGAGGAGCCGAAACCCCGGCCTCTGGGGTGGGGGTTCGGAAAGTTTGGGACTGATGGGGCCCTCATCTCCCCTGCCCTGGCCAGCCTCTGAGTAGGAGCTGGTTGTTATGGAGAGAGTTGTGAATCAGTGCTTGCGTGCGGCGTCAGACACACCCACGACCTAGGGAGGGTGACCTGTCAGTGTAGATCCGGGGCAGCCAACCTGTTGCCTAGAGTTTCCAACTTCACATGCATGTGCATCTGTTTCCTTGGCGTTTTAGTATATTGTTGCTACAGATTTTTAGACCAAGGTGCTGATAGGCATCCTCGTTTGTTACTTCCTCTTAGACTCAAATCTCTTGCTAAATTTCCCAGAACCGTGTTGTGCTTTTGTCATTAGTAGGGCCAAGGAAGTATGGAAGCATGTTTTGTTTGTTTGTTTGTTTTCCCTAAAGGTAGTACAGGCTGCTGTTTTCTGGGCAGAAAATACGGATTCTGTTCACTGTGTGGGCTGGAAAGTGTTGATGGGAGAACCCAGAGTGTAAAGGTGCAGCACATCATCAGCCCGGTGCTCTCTTCTCAGTGCTCCGGACTCTGTCATGGGTAGATGTATGGTGGTTCTAGGACCATACTTGGGAGCAAGGAGTATTGGAGACAGGGAAGAAGCCAATCTTTTCTTTCTGTTGATTAAGGCAATTAGAACCAGTGAAAAGATAGACTGTACTGAAATCTAATGTTTTGTGCAAGAGGATTGAGGAAAATAAGTTCAAGGTTCTCATTTAGGTCTAAGATTGTATGATTCAGTTTCATAACTGAGGATCTGTAAAATATGTTGCCTCTTGGAACCAGTAATAACCTTGCTTTGTAACACTTATTACTCGAAATTCGAAGTGTCTTCCTCCTTGCACTGTAATAGTTTTAGGACAGGAGTCACCTGTGTTCTCTTCCTTGCCCTATGTCCAACACATAGGAAAAAGGTGCTTGCCACAGAGTAGGCATGCAATGGCTATTTGTTATATATCACACTGTGCTCAAGTGGTGTAGCTGTTTATAGAAAGCATTTAGTTCAGTCCATCAAGTACTTAATTCAAGTGCCTCCCTCTGCGCAGTATCATGATAGATGTGGGAAGAGAATTATGGAGTTACAAATAACATAGAAGACCAATCTTTTTCTTTTTTTCGTTGAGAGCAGTAGTCTATCTAGAAGATATATATAAAATAATTATAAAACCAAGTTAAGTAGCATGTAACCAGTGCTGTTTGAGGACTATACATGTAGTAGAAAATCGGAAAAGATAGGATGTGTAGGCTGAGTTAGGGAACTCTTTGAAAGGGGTAAGATTTGAGTTGGTCTCTGGAAGAAGTGTAAAATTTAAATTAAAAAAGAAATAAACCAGAGGCTGAGAAAATAATAATGTGAATTTGGTTGTTGGAGGATATACCAAAAAGACTTTTGTGTCTGGTATCTGGAGCAGAAGGTCTCTTATAGCAGATTACTGGAGAGAGATGGCTTAGCAGGTTGGGAAGGCAAAGTGTTAAGGACTAAGGCAGGCCTATCAGGATCCCACTGTTAACAAGATAGAGGCTTCTTGTAAGGTGGGAAAAAGATTGTATTAATCAGAGTATAGTCTTTGACAAGAATAAGTGTTATCCTTACTTGAAAGTGGAGGATATTACACTTGAACCAATATCAGGTTGTTAATGCACTTTTGATTTCAATTACTAATTGGGATAAATATCTCACAAATGTGCATGAATTTTAGGTAGTCAGTGGTGCATGTCTAAGTTTCTAAAATCTGCCTGATGTACTTGGGCCGTTCTATTGGAAATTTACTGAAGTGATGTACCAGTAATCATTCAGTCACACTCAGTGACATAGTTTTACTTGGGTTCATCTCTCTGAGGTTTGTCATTACTGCTGATCCTGTAAAAAATACAAATGTTAGTTGGGAAAGGAGTCTTTCTGATGAAGGATACCTAAAAATACTGACAAAAGAGTTTTCCGAATAATTAAAGACACTAATGCTGAATATTGAACCCTTGGTCTTTATTCATAACATCTTCTGTTATGTGAAAGTTCTTTTGAGTGGTGTGTAAACCTGAAGTCGAATTGCTAACCAAGGTGTGCAAAGTTACAGCTGAAAATGTTGCATTATTTAACAACTCAGTAAATATTTACTGGGTGCTGGCTATGGCTTGCCACTTTATTGGGTGCTGGGAAGACAAAAAGAGGTTAAGACACAGTATATCCTCAATATACTAAGAGTTCTTTAGAAGAGATAAACCACTAACCATTATATGTTGTGATAAACTAATCACTGTTGGAATGAATAATGTGTTGAGGGAGCAGAGCACTTTGGCTGGAGAAAAATTGATAGGCAACACATTGAGAAGAAGGCGATGGAGCTTATCTCTGAGGGTTAAATAGAATTTTGCCACATGTAGAGGGGGAAGAGAGCATCCCAGGCAGAGGGGCCAGCATAAGCAAAGTTGCTGAATATTAAAATTAAATGGCACTTTTGGAAATATCTTGAGTTGTTTTTTGTAAGCAAGAGAGAGGGGAGAGGGCTAAACTCAAGAACCCATTCCTGAGATAATGAACCCATTCCTGCTATAATGGCATTAATCCATTCATGAGGGCCTAATCACTTCTTATTGCATGGGAGAAGTGATGAGGCAGGAAGTTATTTTTGGAGCCAAATGATGAGGGGGTCTTCTCCATCTTAAAAAGTCTAGACTCCTCCCATCCATTGGCAACGGAGAGCCAACAAGAGTCATAATCAGAAAGTTGACAGTTTGTGGGAGAGGCAGGGTGACTAGAATGTAGGTGAGAAAGATTGGACAATAGGAATGGATAGATTTTGGAGACATTTTTAGATATTAAAATCTCTAAATGTATGACCAGCTAGAGGTGAGGGAGAGTGAGAAGTCGTTTGAGCAGCTGTTTGCTTATGATGACATTAAGTTAGAAAACACAGGAAGAGGAACAGGTTTGAAGTGAAGAGAAGAAATAATGGCAGTGTTAATTTTGAGGTTTCTATGGGGTGTTTAAATAGAGAGATACACTAAGTAACTGGAAATTCTACTTCAGAGTTTATGAGATGGTTAGGGACAACTGTAATATAAATGACAGCTGAGGTTATGGGAGTAGCAGCCTTCTAGGAGGCATGTTAGTATAGTAGTTAACTTAGTGTACTTTGGAGTTAGGAAGATGGCAGGTCAAATCTCTGTTACGCTGTTTATTGGTTGGCTGTCCTTGGGCAAGTTACTTAACATCTCTAAGCGTAGGCCTCCTATTTGAATTAAATAACTGTTGTAGAGATTAAGAAAGGTACTATGTGCACAGTGATTAACACAATGCCTGTCTTATAAATGCTTATGATAAGTGGCAGCTGTTGCTGTTATTGTTAGTAGTAGTAATAGATGTAGAGATAGTAGGAGAGGGCCCAACTACCCAGAATAATGGAGAATGAGAACTGAAAAAGATGGTGAACGGAACTTTTGGACACTTAAATCAGTATTTAAACTTAGATCAGTTCTTGTCTTAGTTTGTTTTGTGCTATTTCATATTTCATAATAGCAGCACAAAACAAGCTAAGACAAGAACTGATCTAAGTTTAATTTATAAAGAACAGACTGGTTAATTTATAAAGAAGAGAAATTTATTTCCTGATGGTTCTGGAGGCTGGGAAGTCCAAAATCAATGTGGCAGTATCTGGTGAGGGCCTTCTTGCTGCATCATAACATGGCAGAAGGCCATGGGTAAGAAGAGAGGGAAGGGGGCTGAATTCATCTTGTGAACCTATTCCCACTCTAATGGCATTATTTATGAGAGTGGAACCTTCATAATCACTAAAGGTCCCACTACTCACTGCAATTGCTTTGGGGATGAAGTCTCCTCCAACACATGAACTTTGCAGGACACATGCAAACCATAGCAGTTCTCAAACTTGAAAATGCATTAGAAAGAGCTGGAGGTGACCAGGCAGGGTGGCTCATGCCTGTAATCCCAGCACTTTGGGATGCTGAGGCAGGTGGATCACTTGAGGTCAGGATTTGTGACTAGCCTGACCAATATGGTGAAATGCCATCTCTACCAAAAATACAAAAATTAGTTGGGTATCTTGGTGCCTGCCTATAATCCCAGCTACTCAGACGGCTGAAGCAGGAGAATCACTTGAACCCAGGAGGTGGACATTGCAGTGAGCCATGATCAGGCCACTGCACTCCAGCTTGGGCAACAGAGCGAGACTCCATCTCAAAAAAAAAAAAAAGAAAGAAAAGGAAGAAATGGCTGGTGGCCTTGGTAAAGCACAGATTTCTGGGTCTCACCCCCATAGTTTCTGATTAAGTAGGTGTGGACTGGGGCTTGAAAAATTGTGTTTTGAACAAGTTCCCAGATAATGCTGATGCTGCTATTCCTGGGGCCACACTTTGAGAACCACTGTCTTAGAGGATAGGTGAAAGAAAAGGAACCAACACTAACAAAGTGGTTGAAGTTTATGGAGAACCAGGAGACAGTTTAGAGAAGAATAAGAATTTAACAGCCTCCGGACTCTCTAGGTCCACCAATGTGATTTCCAATTCCATAGACCTTATTTTTGTTTTCTCCAGAATCTATTATAATGCCTGATACATATCAATAACCTTTGAA